CCGTAGCCCTCCTCCCCGTCGTTGACTGTGCTGCTACAGGTGTAGACGGCCTGAGCCTCCTCACGCATTCTGCGTTCCCACTGTCGGCGCTTGACTAGGTAGGGTGTCTTGTACTTAGCTTTGCACTTGTGGTCTCCGGTGAGGTGACTCTTTCCGCACAGTTGGCACACCGGCTCGCACCGATGATCGTCGGGCGGGTTGCCGCATCCGCACCCACGGCACTTCTTGTCGTTCGGGTTGGGGCACACGTCGGCCCTGTGTCCCAGACGACCACACTCGTAGCACATATCGATATGTTTCTTGTGAAGAGTGCACCTTATCACCATCCCGCCGTAGTTCACGGAACGAGGCACGTAGTAGGCGTCGAAAAGAATTATCACGTTGGTCGTGTTTCCCATGCGCTTGGCATGCAGGACGTTCGGGTTGCGGTGGTTCACCAGACTTCTCACGACGTCCGCTGGCTTTTCGTCTAGCGATATGCCCCTGATGAGGCCTTTGGACGTGTTCTCCGGAGCCGCTCTGTAGGCACTCGCTTCGAACTCGCGGTCGCCAATTCGCAGCTTGCAAATGACTCCATATCGTCTAGCGCGATCTTCTGACGGCGTGCTTACCACAATAACGTTTTGTCGCTCATTGAGACAGACGCTGTCCTCCTCGCCTACCTCGCGCCCCACCCCTGCAGCGTTGCGTATGCAACCGTGGAGGCGGTCCTTCTAGTAGTGGGATACGTTGAAGCCATCCCGGGGTCGCACGATGATCTTGTAGTCATCCGTCGGCAGGTTGGGCATTCGGCTCGTCATGGTAATCTTCCGCACGTACTGCGTCGCTTTCTGTATAAACACCGCCTTCTCGGTAGACGCTGGCGTTGCTTGCTGGTTCTTCGCCGGGTCGGCGTCTCCACCCGCCTTCTTGGTGTTTCGTTTGATCTCGCACCATCTCTGCTTTTTTCCGAACTCCGTCGGCGATATCTCCTCCCCTTCGACTTGCACGAATTCCATTTTGGGCGCTGGCGCAGCGGATGGGGCACCCGCTTGCTCCGACGACTTGTCAGGCCTAACGTGCCTTGTCTACTGGCTTGACTGTCGTTCCAGCGTGGCGGTACGGGCAATCTTCGAAAATTGACTGAAACACGGGCTCACCTACACAAATGGTATCGGGAGAGACCGCAGGACTTTCGAAGTCACTTGGGAATACTCTGAACTGAATGGCTGAAAAGAAATCGCCGAAAACCACAGAAAATCTGCGGAGCCTATGCGACGCGCGTCCGCACACCGTGGCCCCCTAGCGACGCTCATTCAATGGGAAGCAAATATATTTCCGGAAAGTGAATGTGAACATTCGACAGAAGTCTGTCTGGTTGGGTATGAAACTGGGAGATGATTTAGACTCCATACCAAAAGTATAGAAGCAACCCGACGTTTCGAAAACGACTTGGTTCCTTCCTCAAGGGTGACTCAGGGGTGACTCAGCCCCTGAGGAAGGAACTAAGTCGGTTTCGAAACGTCGGGTTTCTTAGAACTTTTGGTCGGAGTCTAAATCATCTCCCATTTTCGGAAAGTGTTTCATAAACAAACCAAATCAGGAAAGCAATGTGCGCAGCTTCAACTAGTGACGCAGGGCTGATACAATATAGTATTCGGCCTGTATCAGCTTTTGCGGGCGACTTCCCGAGTAGTTTCTTTTTCCCCGTTTTAGCTCTTGAAATGGCGTTCTTGGAATTCTTGTAGGATATATCTGCTTCTGAAGACCAGGTGCAGTCCCCTTGCGATGCATTGCAATAGAATTTTTTTTTCGTTTTCTATCTGTTCATTTATCAGCGATGCGCGGATATTTAATGAAATTTGTGCCTTATTTGAGAGCGTCCCTAATTCGTAATGCAGGAATGTTCTTCAAAGAGTATGCACTTTCTAGGCCTGATTGTGCGACCCTTTCTAATTGCTATTTTTTGAAAAAGTGTGTTAGACACATGGTCCAACAATACTTTAGGTGAGCGAACGCTGAGACTCTCCGGTGCCCGTTAATGTTCTGCTTCGCAATGACCCGATAGATGGCGCTACAAACTTTGCCCCGGCTCCCCTCCTCCCTTTTAAAGTAGCAAGCCCTGTATGTGGGGAAGTAGCGGCGCTCATTTATCGTCGCCACAACACCCTCACTAGAGTGTACTAGAACTTTTGAGTGGCGCGACCGAAACGCTTTCCCCTTGCTTTCTCCATCCCCAACTTGTGGCGAAAGTAGCGGTGGCGCTGCCATCGCCCAATCTCCCCACTTGGTTTACTCGGCTGGCTCGGCGGCATGGCCGGCATCTCGGTTTTAGTCGCGAAATGACGAAGAAGTAGCGTCTAAATGATTGTTACGCGCCAGGTTGCACAACTGGATATCCGCGTGTGCAACAAAGTCGGAAGTTATCACTTTTTAAGGCCCCGAAAGACAAAGAACGACGACTTCTTTGGGAGCGGAACCTCCATCGGCTTGACAAGCCGCTTAACGCCGATTGTGCTGTGTGCGAGTTACATTTCAAACCGCATTTCATTGTGGGAGACTACGTACATGTTATCAATGGTGTTCAAGTCCGAATTCCTAGGGGAGCGCCGACACTCGCCCCTGATGCAGTCCCGACGATCTTGCTCAACCTGCCTGCATATTTGACGCTCAAAACTCCGGCTCCGCGGACCCAAACAAAGCGGCGTCATCAGTGTGTGCCGGCTGAAAATGACAACAGAAAACAGCGACGCATTAGCGCTCCTGCACAGCTTTCTGTGGATACCAACGGTGCAACTTCTGCAGATGGCGACGAAGCTGACGAGGCAAGCTCAAGTCCCTCGTCTGACGCGGTTGTCACTCTCGGTGACCTTCGTGGTCTTGTCCTACCATCAAAGTCATGGGCGCTGCACGAGTTTCCTGGATTTGCTGGCGTGTCGTACGTAGCGTGCTCACTGAATCCTAGCACTTGTGAACTTTGCATTCAACGAGCCGTATACTTCACCTGTGCAGACAGTGGAATCGTGCAATGGGAAGCGTTCGTGCAAGAGAAACTAATCAGCAAGTCCAGTTTAGTAACTGCTCGAGAAGCCTCAGATGCTCTGCAGCTTGTTGCAAGCGTCCCACTCTGTTGTAGAGCAGCAGAAACTTAATTTTTGCCATTATCGGACCTTACCCATGGTCTACACGCACAAATGAAGTCAAGATGAGAAATCGTCTACAGTGCCAAAAGCGCACAGAAGCACCTAAAATTGAGTAGGCTATAAATTGCTACAGTGGCGTAAAAAGGTTGTTATTTTTCGTGCATATTTTCTTACACTCTTAATTTTTTGACGGTACACCAAGAAGAAAAACAATTTTTCCTAGAAGAGGCTTGTAAGCGAGAGAACGTGCAAATAATGACGCGAAATCTCAAAATAAATCTTTGATCTTGAATCTTTTTGTATTAAACCTGTGTTGGTAAATTTAGCAGCATTAGGTATCTCTGTGCATAATTCATCGATCTAAGCCAATTCATTGTTGCACTTCAGTGTCCCTTCAAACAATCTTTCGACCATAACATCTTTTTTTTTTTAAATGCATTTTAGAAAGACAACCTTAACTCTGTCATTCTGTTTGCTTTGCTTTATGTTATCTTTTGTATCCTGGCTCTATATATTACGTTTTTTACAATTTACCTAATTGCAAATGTATTGTTTTATAAATATGTAAACGTTGAATTTTTATGTTATCAATTATGATTAACATTAGTTACGACTCTGCTTTGCAGTGTTGTTGCGTTTTTTAAACTCTCAAAATCTTCCACTACTATGTTTCACCTAAGACATTCTTTTGCAGTATTACGTATTTGCATTTCTGTGGGTCCTACAACAATGAATCTATTCCCATATTTTAAAACCAAAGGGATGTTTGGAAAAACTCTGCTGTTCTTCAAACATTGTCAATAAAGCCTACTTTTTTGTCGTGTGTGCGCGCAGCCACAAGCAATGAGCCTTTTATTTGAGTCGAGCTTTGGTGTTTCACGTGGAATTGGCCAAGAGTTCTTCGTTTTGTGTGCACCATATTCCTTTTTTTGGGGAGGGGGGTGCTTCCGGTGTGTACTGGCCAGCTGGTTTCTCGTCTAAAATGTGTACACTTTAAAATTAAAGAAAAAACGCGCTCGTTATATTGTACAATGTGCTATGCTTCTTCGGGCTGCAGTGCGGGCCTCAGCAACTTCAATAACAATAATGTCAAATAACCTTTATTTGCACGAAAAAGGGGAGGTATGTGAATAAGAAAAAAAAGGGGGAGATCATCTTCACACTAGGCGCGACAGAGAGGTACCAACAAGTACGCGGAACGCCTGCCAGCCATCCGCCCGGGTAGATTGGTCGACGCCAGTGCCACCGCATCATTCTACGCCGAAACGGCCGCTCCCAGGCAGCTGCTCGCGCCACTCAAAAGCTTCTAGTACACTCTACCCTCACCACACTGTCAACCTCCTTCCTTATCACCGCTTCTTTCGCGGCGTCACTTTATGCGTGTCGCGTGGTTGTTATCGCGCGATAACCCTATTTTCTCATTTGGAAACCGTCGTCCATGTGACGGGTGTGCTTTGCGGAATATGTCAGCAGCCTGCCACAGTCCTCACTCAGTCCGGCGAGCCATCTATCGGCCTCCGCAAACGAGAACATAATCGGTCCCTACCCGCCAAGCGCTCGCTAAACGGCGTTCACTCACCTAAAGTATTCTTGCACCGTGGTTAGATATGATCAAGCCCATCGACACCTGCTAGCTTACATGACAAAAATTTGTTCGACCTCACGGTTATAAATATTTTTCATGTTACTACTTTGCAACCGTGTCTGGGTTTTTTGTTGCTTTTTTCTGGAATTTCTGTTTTTCCGCGACATTTCCCCTTCCTGGAGGAGCAGACAGGCGCGGGCCCCTCTGGGCAGCAGAATACTCTTTGTGTGCTTGTGTAAACGCCTATCTAAATATCAAATAATGCAATAATAATAAAGACAATATTAACACAGCAAAGTGGCACGCCAAGATGATCAACCTGAGCACGTCGGCCACGGAGACCACGGGCATCGTGCGTGGTCTGAAGCCCGCCATGACGTACCACTTCAGGGTGTTCGCCGAGAACCGACTGGGACGCAGTGACGCCAGCCACTCGGTCAAGGCGACTACGGCCGAAGAAGGTATGTGCACAGACGCTTGAGGGACGGTGCATGTTCCCAAATATCAGCGTGCATTCTAACGGCTTTTCAACGAAGGGAAATACTTCGCTGTGAAGGTAACTTGTTATAAAGTTGGCGCACCATACCTTTCGAAACATGATTGGGACGTAACGCATGATTCGTTATATATACAAGTCATTTCGTTCTGTCTGTGCTCACATCATAAACGTCCAAATTCATCTGCTATGAGTGAAAATTTTGTTAATCATAAAATAGAACTTTATATTCCATTGTTCCTGACATTGACATTAGCAATTAGAATGACCCAGAGGCTTCGAGGTAAAACCGGCAAGCACGACTAGCATGAAGAATTCGTGTTGTAGGAGCTTTGATTTATTCATGGGTTGGGGCTGACTCCTCAGAGTCAAAATACAGGAATTGTCACAGAATAACCCCTTCAGACATCTATTACGATAGACTATTCATGCATGTGTGAAATTCAAAGTGTTATACCAAGGTTGGGGACAACTCAAATAAAAGTAAGAGTAAATGTGATAATAAATTGCTTTATAGCAATAAATTTTAGTTGCAACTAGATTTATTATCAAGGTACTGTGCAGCCAGGCATTCCGCACTTCTTAGCGGTTTCCGCCTTCGTAGCACTGCATAGAAATGAAAATTAAGTCGAATCCACAATGAAGGACGCGATTGATAAACTGAATACAAGTGATTACGAAACCATGTATATTCAGGTACTATCCATGTCAAATGAAACGCGAACAGCGCGGCAAGCCTTCACGGTGGTATAGTGCGCACCTTCCAGTTATCACCATTGACAGGTGCGTGCATACTGGTCGGCAGCTATACTCATTTATGCATGCCTGTCTATCATGATGAGTGGACAGGGTGCACTATATCATGGGGAAGGCTTGCCAATGTTCGGGTTTCGTTTGGAAACGATTGTACAACCGATGTTGCGATGTACAGAATTTACGAGTTATAAAGCAGACGAAAAAAACTCTTCCGATGATTGGAGGGCCATTTGTGAGTAGCCTGTTAGCTTAGCAGATGTGTCGCGCTGCTACGGTCAAGGATGCAGGTTCAATTCCCGGGCATGACGGCCGCAATTTGATAGGGCAAACTGCGAGAGCACCAGTGTACTTAGTTGCAGGAACACGTCAAAAAGCCTAGGTGGCCAAACAAACCTCGAGTTTCCCGTTAAGTTTTAAAATTTAAAGTAACTATTTAAAAGATCTGGTAAGTGGCTTTGACAAAATGCTACATGTCCATGCAACCTGTAATCTCTCTTTCATAGCAAATGCTTCCCTCCGCGTCATTTGTTTTTTTTTTCATCCATTAACCCCGTAGCGAATGCGCATGTCGCATATATACGAAGTACTTCTCTCATTGATCGACTTCCCTTTCATTCATATTAGTCTATGAAGTACGATATTTGTGACTGTCACACACGAGCTATCATTGTGCTATCATCGAGCTTATCCAATATAGAATGTATCTATTTATATAGCCTTCATCCTCTTCGCCTAAAAAATTGTGTTTACACAATACGCAGTTTACGTTCAAAAGAAAAAAGCACACTTTTGAAAGAAATAAATAATATTTTTATAAAATTGCGACTGAACAAACATACGGGTTTAGAGAATTCAGAGAATTCTGCCAGCATATCCCTATAGAGGCACCCGCAGCCTAGGGATACGCCGGCAGAATTCTCTGTATTTCACTGCGGAACTTTATCCCTATCTGTGACTGAAGGTACTTTCTACGGCAATTTCACCTGCCTCTCGCATACTCTTTTGCTGAGTAAGCACTGCCGCTCCTAAATCACATCTTTCTGGGTGCTTTGGAAAACTCGCAATCTCGATATATACTACCTCAAGTTCTAATAAAACGTCTGTACCTAAAAATTCAAGTGATACTTATTTCAGTGAGGTCCATCTACTAAAGCTACCGATCTTCTTTGAAGTGCCTTCCGCCATTTCCTTTCCCAGATACAATGAAAATGTGGAATAATACGCCCAATGCGGATGTTCAAAAACAACGTCAGTCAACTTTGAAGATGCGATAGACAGTGTTCTTTGTATTCGTGGTTGGGAACTTGTGGTGCGAGCATTTTATATTGATTTTTGTCTCTATAGTCACTGTTCTTCGTTACTTAATTTTCTGAAGTGGTTATTCATCTGTTATTTTTATTATGGACACTCTTGGCTGGATTTCGCCACCGCCGTTGACGTGGGCATTGGCGTTGACGTGGACGTTGGAGTAGATGTCATGCACCGTATATTGCCACATAGTTTGCTTGGGTGAGATCGAAGGGGGAAAGAAGACAAATGACGATCTCTCTGAGCCGCTGCTTGGGTAGTCAACTAAACGAGCCCATTTTTATCAAGTTTGTCGAGAGTAACGTGACAAGACTGGTGGAGTTTCTGGGTACAACGTCTCACGATCCACCCGATGCCCAAGACCCCGTCCAGCAGCCGGAACACAAGCCCTGCACCCGTGGACACTCCTGTTCATAGAGTAAGCCGCCGCCAACGAGGCCTACCGCCTGAGACACCAACCACTGACGCAGCGACTATGACTTCGACACAAGATCCCATGCAAGCTCCGACACCTTCCACGCCGATCTACTGCACCGTCCAGAACCCGCTCATGCCTAGCCCCTTTCAAGGAGAGCAGCATGAAGATGTTGACGACTGGCCTGAGTGAGTTCGAACGTGTCGCAGCGATCAATTAATTACTGGGATGATGCCGCAAAGCTCCGGAACGTGTACACCTGCCTAAAAGACAGTGCCAAGACGTGATTTTTGAACAAAAAGGATGTTCTGACATCTTGGCGCGAGTTCCAGCGTCGCCTGTTGGAGACCTACAGGAGTCCTGACCGCCGCGAACGGGCGGAGCGTGCACTACAATCACGCATCCAGATGCCCAACGAGACCGCCTCGATGTACGTCGAGGACATGACACGGCTTTTCAAGCGCGCGGATCCTGCTATGGCAGAAGAAAAAAAGTTGCGCCACCTCATGCGTGGTATGAAGGAACAACTTTTTGCTGGTTTGGTGCGTAGTCCCCCCAAAAGTGTTGCTGAGTTCCTTACTGAAGCGGCAACAATGGTGCGAGTACTGCACCAACGGTCTGCTCTGTTTGACCGTGAAGTGTATGCTGCCTCAACTCCCGAAATTTTCGCCACCCCTGAGAGCAAGAGCCTCGAAGGGATTCGTGAGATCATTCGATCTGTCGTACGGGAAGAAATGGAAAAGATGTACGGGACAATACAAATCGATGTTGTTTCTATCACTAGTGTCATCCGCGACGAGGTCCAGTAGGTGCTGCACGTCCATCGTTTTCCGCCCACGTCGGTTGATCCGGAAACGGCTCCTGTGTCTACTGACAGTCGCCGTCGTACGTACGCGGAAGCCTTGCGATCTGCCACTCCTCTTTCGTGTCAAGGAGCCCCGATACAGCCAGTGCCGCACGTCCCAATCCAGACAGTGCCGCACGTCCCGATACAGACAATGCCATACGTCCCGATCTAGACAATGATGCCGTCAGTCGCGATTCAGTCAGCGCACGCTGATTTGGACATCGATAGTCGCCGTGCACCGACGCGTGAGTCTGATCTCTGGCGTACGCCAGACAGACGACCGCTCTGCTATCATTGCGGTGAGGCTGGTCACATTTACCGCGAATGCCCATACCAGCAACTTGGACTGCGCGGATTTTCCGTCAATTCCCCACGTCCCCAAATTGGTCAAAGGCCAAGGGATATCGAAGAGTATCTCGCGCAACAGCGTGCACCCTTTACACGACGGCAATCGCGGTCACCATCTCCGAGGAGACCCGCAGCCACTGGGCCATGTTTCGGGGTGACGGCACGGGAACGCTCCCCGAGCCCTCGTCGGGAAAACTGAAGGCAGCGGCCTTCGGGGGCAAGGTCGCTGGGAGCCAAAGTGCGGAAGACCTCCCATCGACGCTTGCACGCAACGCCGAAGGCATTTCGTCAGAGAATAATCGCAGTGCCGAAGAAACGCTGACATCCACATCTGAACCTAGTGACCGCGTGTCACTCGACATACCTGTGCTGGTTGACGGTCTTCAGGTCAGTGCATTGGTAGACACTGGTGCAGACTATTCGATCATCAGCGGGAGGCTAACGAAAGATCTCAGGAAAGTGATCACGCCGTGGAATGGAACGCGAATTCGAACAGCTGGAGAACACGTTGTAACACCGCTGGGTCGCTGTACCGCAAGAGTGAAAATTCGTGCGTCAACGTTTGTGCTCAGCTGCCTCGTTCTTCGCGACTGTTCGCGTCAGCTGATTATCGGCATGGACTTCCTTCGGGAATACGGTGCCATCATAAATCTCCGTGAGCGCATCGTGACCTTCTCGACTCAAGGCGCAACAGATCGAGACGCTGATAACTGCCGTAGACCTGCGCTGCGTGTTGTTGACGACAGTGTGACGCTGCCACCTCGAGCAACTGTTCCCATCGAAGTCACTTGTGAAGACTTCCAAGACGGCGACGTGGTGGATGAAAGCAACTTATCACTTCTGCTGCTCCAAGGTGTATGCACCGCCCGAAGTATTGTGCGCATCCGTGACGGACAGTCAACGATACTAGCTACGAACTTCAATTACGAGCACCGGCATCTTTTCCGCGGAACCACCCTAGCTTATGCAGACCCTGTTGCCGACGTCACGGAGTGCTTCGCGTCCGAGGAAACGCATGAGGATAAGGGAATTTCTAGACCGCATCGACATTAATTCGACGCTGTCAGACGAGAGAAAGGCTGCACTTCATGACCTTTTAAGGGAGTTTCGATCTTGCTTCGCCTCTTCTTCTAAAGTCCGTCAAACACACCTCACGAACCATCGAAATATTACCGACGATGACGTCCGCCCCATCCGGCAGCAGCCTTATCGCGTTTCTGCCGAAGAACGCGAGGCTATTCAGACACAAGTAAAAGAGATGCTCGATGACGGGATTATTCAACCATCCAGC